GCTGTATTGCTTACAGCCTTGCTAAGTGACTGAGGCTGGCTCTAAACTCACAATCCTGTTTTTAAGTAGGCAAATGAATGGGATGGATTAGTTCAGCTCTGAAGATCTGGGGAAGGCTCCGTGAATAGCTGGAAACATGCCAGTGTGCTTCCATCCAGTCACCTTCTCTGCCTCTACTCCTAAGCTTGTGAACCAGCAGCCTGACCTTCAGGGCATTGCAGGGGGACAAGAAGGAAGGGTGGGTAGGAGGAGGCAAGGTTCCCACTGACCACCCACAGGAGGGCCTCCTCACCTGAGTCCACCTCACTTTATTTTCTGATCCCTTCCCTCCTCATCAGTCTGACAAACGAGACTCACATCCAAGAACTCAGAAAGCTACGATTTTGTTTTATCTTAGTTACGCATGTTGTGACATTATTGTAAGACAAGAGGATCTGTGGTGTCCCTAGATGTTAGATTTTCTAAGCGTTCTTGCTGTTTAAATAGCAGAAGCACTCATCTTCTCATCAGGGATTCATTTTCATATTTCCTCACCTACCCTTTGCAGAAAGAGCAAAACTGGGATCCGAAGGGAACAGAAGCAATTATTTTCTTTTTTCTTTTTTTTTAAATATTTATTTTTTAGTTTTAGGTGGGCACAACATCTTTATTTTATTTTTATTGGGTGCTGAGAATTGAATCCAGTGCCTCACGCATGCTAGGCAAGCATGCTACCACTTGAGCCACATCCTCAGCCCCAGCAATTATTTTCTTGATTAAGCACATTTTCTCAAAATAACATTAGGCTAGGTGCATGCCTGTAATCCTGGGGCTCCAGAGGCTGAGGCAAGAGATTGCAAGTTTGAGGCCAGCCTCAGCAACTTAGGCCCCAAGCAACTTAGTGCAACCCGGTCTCTAAATAAAATATACATAAAAAGTGGAGAGACTGGGGAAGTGGCTTGTGGTTAAGAAGCCCCCCTGGGTTCAATCCCCAGTACTAAAATAATAATAATAATAAATAGAAACTCAAGTCTTCTATGTAGCTCTAATTCAAAGAATCAGGCAGACACAATATATGGGGTTTTACATTAATTTGATATAAGAGGAAATTTCTGATAGTTAAAGCTACTTACAAATAGAGTTTATTATTTATCCCCAATAGACAACGTGTCCTCTCAGAGATTACATGACTGTTTGACAGGAACAGAGTTTTTTGAAAGGATCCTCTTTAGATTTGAGGTCTGAAGAATGCGATCATCAAGATCACATGGGGTGTATTGAAGATGCAGAAAATACGGCTTCAATCTGGTCTCTTTGAATGGGGTCTGGGAATCTACCATTTAGTCAACTTTCACTGAAGACTGAGAAATGCTGGCTTAGAATCCACAAAAGTACAAACTTAAATTCTAGCTAACTGAAATTCAGTTAAAGAGCCCTGAGTCTATAGTAGTGTATTAGAGAAGCTTAGTTAACCTCTATCTAAATCAGTAGTTCTCAAGCTTCAAATGATGTATTTCTGGGGAATCTTATTAAAACAGATTCATTAAAAAGGACCTCTAAAATGTGGGCTGAGTCACAAGTCATCCTAATATGGATGATTCAGAGAACGAAACTAGAAATCTTGTACTAAGCAGTGTACTCATCCCCTAGATCATGAGCTTGCTGGATTGGAAGGTAGACAGACTAGAATAAAAGCCATTTAGAGGGCGAATTTTTGCAATACAATTTCTGCACAGTTCCTAACACATCAATGATTTTTTTTTTCATGAAGTGATCGATCACTTTTTTTCAAGAGAGCTTGAAACACGCATTCATTACTTCAACTAATAGTAGGTTGAATGCCGACTATGTGCCACACGTCACTCATCCCTCGTGGCTTATTGTAGCTCTTTGTTTTCTTGTTACACATGAATTTTTTTTTTTTTAGAATGGGAAAAAAAAGTGAAAAGGCCTTTTGAAGTCTGGTAAACTGATCAGTTCCTCTCAAAAAGAGAGGAATCATATTTGGATATGAAGCAAGTAGCTATTTAATTAGAGGATGATAACCGCTATCGGTGGTCCCTGTGTGGAGCTGCTAGTGTCAAGATGGTGATTCTAAACGTGACAGTGGAAACATCCTGCATCAGACAGTTCTTTCCAAGGCTGTTTCTTCTCGTGAATTGTACAGCTTGTTTCCTAAGGTCATTGCTTTTCCCAAAGTCTATAATGTACCTCTCAGATCACCTCCATCACTGAAATTGGAGCCTCAGTACATGCATAGGCTCTATTAAAGTCTGTCCCAGAAGGCTTCCCTTGGCTTTCTTGTTTCACTTTATACATAGGCAAATGTTCCAAATAAATAAGATATGGAGAAAGGAACAAGGAAGGAACTCAAAGGAGTGTTTGCTTTCCAACCATTTTTCCTTGCTCTGTGACCTCAAGTGAGAGAGAGAGAGAGCTCTTCGGAGCCTAGATTTCTTCATCTAAAATTTGAGGATTAAAATATATCTAATTTGCGGACTCTTTGTGAGATTTAATGAAGTGATTTCTGTGAGAGCACACTGTCTCACATATAACGAATGCTAAGCAAATGTCAGTTCATCTCCCTGGCCCTCCAGCCCCCCGGCTCCTCTCCTGCTTCTCCCTCCTCCCCAGTCTCCCCGTCTCCTGATCCCTCCACCTTTCCCTGTCCCCAGCCTCCCCCCTGCCTAACCTCTCACTGGCTCTCCCTTTTCCTCCATTCTCCTTTTGGCCTTCCATCTCTGCTGTCCTTGTCCTTCCCCTCCCCCTTGTGCCTTCCTCCTGTCCTCTCCCTACTCCTCTACCCCTCCCTTAGTGTCCCAAGGAAACTGAAAAATGAGAGCCCTTGACTCTTCTCCACCAAGGTCCCAGCCCAGCTACCATCCTACAGCCCCTATCATCCACTCATCAGAGGAGTGTTAATAATCTAGTCAACGTTTACCTTTAAAAATAAAAGAGTCGAGATAGCAGCAAGGTTAAAAAAAAAAAATACTTTCTTTGCTCCCAGCCCCTTGGCCTCTTAGTTTTTATAGTTAATGTCTTTTTTTAAGTGCTTTACAATTACAGAAAGATCCAAGGAATTTGCTAACATGAGTATATTCCATACGCACACTGTTGTTTTTTACTTTTTATTTATTTATTTATATTACCTATTGTTTCTCTATGGAAATTTGTGGCTACTTCAGAAACCACACACACACACACACACACACACACACACACACACACACACACCACTGATGTCATGACCACCACTCCAGGCCCCAGAAGGCCTACTCTATCAACCAAAGCCCTCAGACCCTTCTCTGTGATGTGGGCCTCCTTGCCCAGAGCCCCTCCTGTTAGAAGCAGAGCTGATGAAATATCTGCCACTTCACATGGACACCTTCAAAGCATCCTCTGGTACCCCATTGAGGAAGCAGCTCCCACCAGAGGGAATAAGCTAAATGTTATTCCCTGCGGCTCTTGTCCTGAAAGAATCTGTTCCTTGGGTGGTGTCCTTCAGCAGATTGCTGAACAAAACTCATGAAAGATGTGGGGACAACAAGGTAGAGACCAGCCCATCACACCCGGCATTGTAAGGAATTAAATAAGCTTCACATTCTAGAGTTAGGCAAATAAACAAACAAACCAGCTAGGTGGGCAAACTGTATCTTGAGGGCAAAACTATGCCTTTTCACTTCTGGTTTAGGGTTTTCCCCTAAGGAGGTAGGAATCTGGGAACTGGATAGAATCCGATGCTGAAGCTAAGTCTCTGGGTCTTTTTTTTTTTTTTTCCACAGTTGGCTTGATAAAAATAGAACATACACATGTGATATATTTGACTTCAACAAAGAATAAAATGGGAGGAAGTGAGACTTAAAAGTGTGTCTGTGCCTTTTTATTTATGTAAAACAAATTAAAAAAACAGTATATTAATTCAAAGGAACTATTTTTATTTAAGAATTTCCTTTAGAGTAAATTGTCCCTTATCTCTTTGGTGCTTTGGTGCTTTTGTTTTATACACACACACACACACACACACACACACACACAAATCACCAATGCTAAGATTCTTGAACCATAGCTTGTAGCTTTATTCTTCAATGTAGTTTATTTGTCCCCAGGGAGAATTATTTCCGACATCAGCATGAGAGTTAGCAATCAATGTGGTGAAGGAAGAGGCACAGATGTACATCTCAGGGAACACAGAGCCCTCTGA